AAAAAGTGGGAGTGACACAATTTAAAACTAGCTAGTAGACAGTAACAACACTGAAAAGTTTGTCATTGTTCTACAAGCTAGCTAGTTTTAAATTGTATAAAGTGGGAGTATTTTTCAGTGTTGTTACTGTCTGTTGTAGGACACTTTTTTCTTAAAGATGCAACTTTCAGTCGATATTTAAATATGGATCAGTGACTAACAGTGAAATGTTTTTAAAACTTTGTCAACTGGTTTCATATAAAAGAAAGATTCACAGTTTTCATGTTAAAGATATAACCCAAAATGATATAAATATAAGAACTCAGTATGGCACATACCAGCAGATTGAAGGAAAATTTGAATTTCTGCAGAACCTCAAAAAATTCTCGCTCAGTTGGAGGCTTGGCACGTATGCTCAGCATTCCATCTAGAATGTTTATTACAGGTTATGAGGAAACATGATAAATCGCATATAATATTAAACAGCATGTTCATGTTTCATAGATAAAAACTAGTTTTTTCATTATTTCTAACTTCAATTACTGATAACCAAATGAAAGGAAATGACATGATATAAAGAGAAAGTCCCCATCTATACATAGATGAATATTTATCTATAGTAACAATCAAAAGCCCTTAATTACAGCCTTCAGATTGTTGGTACTTAATGTGATGGTCATTATAGTAACAATCAAAAGGTGAGTGCCTAGCCCTTAATTACAGCCTTCAGGTTGTTGGTACTTAATGTGATGGTCATTATAGTAACAATCAAAAGGTAAGTGCCCAGCCCTTAATTATGGCCTTCAGGTTGTTGGTATTTTATTTGATGGTCATTATGGTAACAATCAAAAAGTGAGTGCCTAGCCCTTAATTAGAGCCTTCAGATTGTCCACTGTTGGTATTTTATGTGATGGTTACAGTTATGGACCATGGCTCTGCACCTCAATTCCATTGTAGGATTCAGTTGACTGATGAAAATATTTTGTTGCTTTTCAGAATTTGTAGTGTATACTGGAGGGATTTAGACATTTTAGCAATAAAGTTAGAAAACAATTACTTTTACCCTCCAGATAATAATAAAAAACTTTTCATTTCAGCCAATGTTTCACCATTGTGGCTTTGCCAGGGTTAGCACTATTAGTTTTTGTTTTCTAACTTTATTGCCACTGTTGGTGGCTTTTGTGCAATACATTATGGTCATTTTTTCTTTCCTCTTGACATGATTTCTGCAGTCCATCAACCGTGTGAGGATGATGACTTCTGAGGATCTATTTTATATCAAAGTATCTCCATGAGAGATGCGGTAAATGGTGTACTTGGAGGAGGGGGAGGGTGTTTTGTGTTCATGACTTACTGACACCTAAATAAGACAGACTAATGTTCTGTTGAAAAATATATTATGTTCCACCCAGACAGACCACGTCATTATGGTTGTGTCTGTCAAGTTATTATAATATTAACATAATGTGCTTCCATACACAAATAAAATAATAATTATTGAATTTAATTAAAAAATTAAAAACATGTAATTAACATAAATGAACTGATTTAGTTTAATGTAGGAGAAGAGCTTGCAATGTTATGTTTACAAAAAATCTATTTATTCAAATAGTTTTAATGATACAACGAAAATGTCATGCTTCATGATAAAAATATCTGTTTATTTGTCCTGTGATGTACTGTTCATATTCTAAGAACGTCTGTGCACTTAACTATATGCACAAACATACTCTAATTCTCCAACCATTTTAACATTATAAAAGACAGATGAGACAAACTAATGAGAGGCAGTCAATAAAGACGATAGTCTTGTGTAAACAAGTTAATTATTAGCTTCACTCTTACCAGTGTTTTAACTATATCAGGAAATGTATCTATGACAGAAAACAGTTGATAAAAGTTTATAAAAAACGACCTTTACACCATAGATAAATATATAAAAGAACATATTTTTATCTCAACCAACGTTTCACCTTATCTGGGTTAATATACACAATCCCTCCGTATGAACTACAAATTTTGAAAAAAAATGCTTCAAGTTGTCAAAGATGAAATAACCACAACTACAGACCATTTCACAATGGTTAAAATAGTATAACCACAACTACAGACCATTTTATGGTGGTTAAAATAGTATAACCACAACTATAGACCATTTTACAATGGTTAAAATAGTATAACTACAACTACAGACCATTTTACTATGGTTAAAATAGTATAACCACAACTATAGACCATTTGACGGTGGTTAAAATAGTATAACCACAACTATAGACCATTTTACAATGGTTAAAATAGTATAACCACAACTACAGACCATTTTACTATGGTTAAAATAGTATAACCACAACTACAGACCATTTTATGGTGGTTAAAATAGTATAACCACAACTACAGACCATTTCACAATGGTTAAGATAGTATAACCATAATGACGGACCATTTTATGGTGGTTAAAATAGTATAACCACAACTACAGACCATTTTACAATGTTTAAGATAATATAACCACAACTTAGAGACCATTTTACAATGGTTAAATTGTATAATCATACTGACAGACCATTTTATGGTGGTTAAAATAGTATAAGATAATATAACCACAACTTAGAGACCATTTTACAATGGTTAAATTGTATAATCATACTGACAGACCATTTTACAGTGGTTAAGTTGTATAACCATAATGACAGACCATACTATAGTCATTAAAACAGAATAACCACAACTACAGACCATTTTAAAATTAAAATATTATAAGTTTTAGAAAACTCTTCAAAAAATTTCCCTTTGCAAACATGGCATTACTGAGAAAATAACAACAAGATATCATCACATCATTGTACCAGTATGAAGTGTTTTATTCTATTTCTTGGTCTGGCAAGATCAGTGTTATGATATTTTTGTTTTGGGACATTTTCTGCTGTCATACAAAGTTAATTTTTACATAAATGTAAACACAAGATCACATAAAAGGTTGTAGGTTTGTTCTTAACATAGAACTATAAATGGCAGGGATGAATTTTCTCTTAAAATAGAACATAAAATAACAGATAGGTTTGTTCTTAAAATACATATATCTAAGTTTTAATGAAATATGAAAAACACAGAGAAAGGTAAACAGATAATGTATTTGAATTTGAAAACTAAATTACTTACTATTATTGTTTAACTTACTTTGCTCTGTTTTAAAAGTTAAATTGTTCAGACTTTATATATTTCTTATGTTTGCCACACTAATCTATAACAGTTATATTTTAAAACAACATACAAGAGAGTAATATTCTCAAATATGGATATACATATAAAAAACCGTGTATAGATAAATGTTTCAAGTAAATGCTTTTTGTCGAGCCTTTGATAATTCCCAACAAACCTTTTTCCATTTGGTGATATTACTTTGATTATTTTCTGAAGCTTTAATCATCACCACCATATTGGTTTTTTTCTACACTTTCACACATAAATACTACACAAACACAAATGTTCGCTTTTGTGTTCTGAACACATTTCTGGGCTAAAGAAATTCCTTAAAAAAAACTAAAAAAAACCAACATATTTTTGCTAATATTCACCACCAAAGTCTTTCTTTTTGTTTTTTCGTCCTTTACGCCTTCGTTCTAGTTCCTGGTAAGCTGCTGCAGCATGTTGAAGTCGACCAACGAAGAGTTCAATATCATCGAAGCAACAGTTTAACATCATCTGTAAGATAAGAAGTTCTGGATGACAATTTACAACATTTTTTAGCATTCCAAGTCCGCTCAGCCAGTATAGTATTTGACAACCTGAAGCTATGAAACTGTTGTCATTTTTGTATATACATTCAAACTTATTAAAATGTATGGCAACATAAAGATAGTATAAACTTTAATTTTATTTCAATATATAGTTTGTGCTCCTTTGTTTTAGTAATTTTTCTTAATTTTGGTACACAATTTCTACAAATACATTATTTTATCAGTTGTTCTGTTTTATTAAATTTAAGGAAATTCTACTTACCACTTCTTTATCATATCGCTCACTTCTGACTGAATTGGGTTCTTCAGAAATATTAAAAGAATGCTGAAATGGTGACCTCATCTGCTCCTGTCTTTCCTGAGAGCCAGATACTGCTGCAAAATGAATGTATGAAATAATCTTATTAACTCCACGATGATGGTAACAAATTATAGTATTTTGGCACTTGTGTATAAAGTTAAAATCATAAATAAATTTCAACGTTAAACTGTTACACAATTAAAAACATTTTATTTAGGCCTATCTATGGCCTTCAAAAAGTTAATGACTCTACATGTTTCGACGTTACAATGTCATCCTCGGGAAACATGTAGAGTCGTCAACTTTTTGAAGGCCATAGATAGGCCTAAATATAGTATCAATTTCAAAATTGCTGTGTGTAATATATATATATATATGTATGACACTGTAAATTAGTCCTGTCTGTATTATATGATAAGAAAAATAATACGGAAATGTCAACTTCTTTGCTGCCAGTCTTTTGTATTTACATTACATTTCATT